GCAGAATGTAATCAACAAATGAATTACTTTATATTGAGATGAAAACATGTACTGTAGTGTACTGTATACATACCTTTTCGCTGTCTGTGTTTTAAACATGCATTTGAAGTGTCAGCGTTGTCCGTGCACCGCGCTCTCTCCAGGCAGCTTGCACTCTCCTTGGAAAAAACAGTATCACGTGTCAAAACAAAAGCACGTGCTTTACAGCGATTTTTCCCTATAGAGGCGGCTCTTGCATATAGATGTATATGTTGGCTCTTGCACTGTATAAGGACAACAGACCGTTCTCAGCCGCTTCAGCTCTGACGCAACCCGGAAAAACTATCGGCGTGGATTTTTGCCGATAACCGATAGTTCCGGGAATCAACTATCGGTGCCGATTAATCGGCAAAACCGATACATCGGTCGACCTCTAGTTTACGGAAACATCAAACTTAAATACTTGACTTAAATACTGTTTCCCTAACTTTGTAAGACAATGTAACAAATACACACGTACCACTGTGTGTGGGCTCCAGGCCGTAAGCAAACGTAACATACCTGGGGCAATGACAGATAGACTATGAGCCAGGGAGTCGCTAATTGTGCATCTCTCCGTATGCAAAGCGATGGACTTTTGCTAGATGTTTCAACGGATTGCTGGTGTTTCTGCCCTTACATGCAAAAGATTTGTTACTTGGGCATCGTCAGCATCGACTTTAGTGACTTTAAGTTCTCTCCACCGCTAAAAGCAGAGTGTCCGTGTGTGCTGCGTGCGCACGCACACACACACAGGCTGGCTGCGAGAGAGATCTTTCTTCTGGATTATGAATAGCGAAAATGCAATCGGACATGCACACTTTGCTGCAATAGCAGCCCCTTGTATATCACAAACTGCAGTGAGTGCACAAAACAGCACGTTAGCGACTCCCAAGCCATCCATTTGCTTTTTTTTTCCCCCACAATACTTGCGTCGGGTGTAATTTTATGCGCTTTGTTTATAGAGATTATCCACCCAGCACTGTTTCTACCTCTCAAAACTTTACAACGATTGCAAACCGCTGTGCTACTAGTTGTCTCAAGCGTAAAATACTTCCAGATCGTTACCCACTTATCTGATGTTCTGCTCCTACTGCAAAGGATAAGCACTTGTAATGTTGGGAAATACAAAATTAAAATAAAATAGTCATGTTACAGCAGGCGTAAGTCACCACGGTCACACCCAGTAGACTGAGTGGCAGTGTTAGCATTTAGCTCGAATGCCACACAAAACACAACTAAAATGCGAAAGAGCTGTTGTGCGGTTGATTGTACAAATCGATTTAACAAGAAATGTGAGCTCTTTTTACAGACTGCCAAAATCTAAAGTATCTGGTGTGGATCGGTCACATACGGTCGATACCCGATCCGTGTAATAGGTATGGATCGGCGCCAATATCAATCTGAATATTAGATTGTTGCATCTCTAGTTCAAATACATACAATTTAAATGGGCTTGTGTTTCTAAATTTCCCTTATTTTTCAATGGCTCGGTTCAGTTTAAGTATCTCCGCGAAACATGCCTTTGTTTTCTTTACTCTAGGATACTATTGAAATCACGGTCCTCAAGAACCAAGCCCTACTGGTTTTCCAGCCTTCCTTCACCTGTAAACTGGGTGTGAAGCCTCCAGCTAATCAGAATCCGTAATTATTATACTAACTACCTGGGAAAACTGAAAACAAGGCCTGGATATGGAATCGAGGTCCAGATTTGAAGAGCCTTGCTGTAGGATAATTCAGAGCTCACATGGAACACATGCAGCTTACACTGTATTCAGAGAACCAGGCTTAAAAGCCATTGCTCTTCAGAACTTCAGTTTACAGCCTGATGAAAGAACGGCATCTATCTATCCATCTTCTATAGCTAGTTAACCATTAGGGGGTGACGATGAGCCTGTTGAATGCATTGTGTAGTACTGTTAGTTCTTTAAGGCAATGGCTCATAGTAAAGGATTCATGTGGTTATTCTGACGTCATATAACCATATGACGTCTGAAACCCTCTCTGTGGCATTGATGCGGATGGGTCCCTACTTCTCTGGCCAAATATTTTGCATTACTTTCCCAGCATGAAAGCCTGCCCTTTTTTTCAGACCTGAAAGAGTTCCAAGAGAATAAACGAGGGTCCCCAGAGTATACAATCTACTTATGCTTCGGAGAGAAATTTCCGGATGGAAAGGCCGTGGATAAGAAGTTAATAACCGTCAAGGTAAAGTGCTTGTGGTTTTATGTCTGTCAGTAATGGAGCCCACAAATGTCTCCATTAGGAAGTAATCTTAACTGTTTAGTGACGCGTGTGGTCAATCTCTTTTGGGCATCACTCGTGATGTTCAGGCTGACATTTAGAGGAGTTCCCTCTTGTTTTATGTTGCTCCAATACCTATTCTTCTCCATCAGGTGGTGCCTCTGGCTTGCCGGGACCTCCATGAGAAAGCACATATGGACGGAGCCTCCTCCTTGCAAGGCGATGCCGTCAGCTTACAGATCTCACACAACAGCCTCTTTGATCTCATAAACTCCACCTTCGGCCTTCCAATCGCCTTTTCCTGAAGACCATCCCACCCCCAAATGCCTCGTCTGCTCTCAGATGCCATCTGGGCTCTTTTGTTTCTCTGCCCAGTTAGTCTATCCAGCGTTTCCCAATCTGGTCCTCGGGGACCCAAAGACAGTCCACATTTTTGCAAAAATGTGGACTGTCTGTCAAGGTGCTGGGAGGGAGCATAAATGTGGACTGTCTGTCAAGGTGCTGGGAGGGAGCAAAAATGTGGACCGTCTGTGGGTCACCGAGGACCGGGTTGGGAGACACTGGTCTATAGACCCAGCAGTCAATGTGTAATTCTTCTTATCTTTCAGACCTTAGAAAGTATAAAATTACATGCTGCACTTAAATAATAGAATCTACAGAAGCACATATAAACTGAGGCGCAACACTTTTTTTGTATGGTTTCTAGAAATTCATGCTGAAAACACTCCTTTCAGAAGCACACAGTGGAAATGTTTACAGCAATGGTAGGTGGTATTCATTTGCAACAGTTTTTGGGCAAAGAATTAACAGCTACTCTGAAATGGAAAATATCAGCACTTGAATACTTGAATTGTGTATCTAATCTTTATGTAAATGGATGTGAGATATTTGTATTTGACATAACTTCTTAAGTAAGTGTAACAGCTAATTTTTAAAGGCTGCTCTGCTATCTGCTGTCCTCTCACTGAATGTCTTCTAAGATTTTCTTTACAAACTACATTCCTTGTGTCAATTTACCTGCAGTGAAAATAATAAAAGCCCAAAACTTGATTCTGCTTTAGAAGAATCCTTTTATTTTCTCTGGCAATACAAGATAAATTTAGACAGTACAAGTTAAGAGATTTGTTTGTTAATGGTTTTCCTTTCAAATATCATGGGGAAAAAAAAAAAAAAGCTCAAAACATAAATGAGTGATAAACCCCTAACCCTGAATATATGACAATTAAGTTTTACAGCTAGAAAGTGCCTTTTCGGCGAAGTTGTCGTTTTGCTGCCATTATTTTTTTCATTTTGCACTCCAACCATTAATTGGAATTTGTCTGTAAAATAAACAAAGAAACCACTTTTACTAGGAATTAATTTTTTTGTAATCTCTTTTTGCTAATTTTCAGCCAGCACAGTACATCCTGAACATGCGATTCAGTCTAACAATTACCTGTTTATCAACAATGATGGTCATGGGTCCCATTTAGATGTTGCCACAGAAGAATTTATGATTTTCATGTTTAGGGGTAGGAAAAATTGGATCTATATTAAAACAAAAACCATGGCATGAACTAAATACATTGGCATTAAATACATGGTACATATAAACTATATCCATATGATACCTGAATTATGTATAAGTTACGCACCTTTTGGGAAGAGCAAGTGCGTCTTGCATGTATGCCCTTTCAGGCAGGTCATCTTTTCTTCCTGAACCCTGTGAACCAGAAAATCAACAATAATGAGGTTAATAATCTAAGTTTGATAATGTTCATAGCCAAATGTTTCAGCTCCATTATAAGTGATTATATTGCTAGTATTCAGAAATGTAAATCCCGATTATAATTAAACGTTTAACAATATAGGCCACACAGGAGTGAAAGTAGTTTTGATCCTTCCAAATATACCAGTTGTACAGAGAAGTGTTTAAATTGACTCTGGAATATTGACAGTGTTGTTTGAGTGGATTACTTTTCACGTGGAGGGAGACTGTGCCAGTCTTTCCATTTGAAGTCTTCGGTGCATCCTGGCTCTCTGCATGGGCTGTATGTGTACTGATACAAGCCAGGCCACTGGCTCGAGAGCTTGTTCAACTCAGACAACACAGCCAGGATCAGGTTCCACAGCTGTTTGAAAGCCAATACTAAAGAATAATTCATTATTAAGTATTATTTATTATTATTATTATTATTATTATTTGATAAGTCATAAAATCCACAATACATTATGCATTGCCATATCTATGTCATTAGTTAGTCAAATGTTTCTTCCTTTGGTTAAATTGTATTATGCTAAGTGTGCTAAGATCACTTACAATAATATATGTCCCATCCCACCATAGTCCTTGAGCATACAGATGTACTGCCTGAAATGGAAGAGTACTTACAATTGTCTTCTGGCCTCTTGCATCGTATTTCAATGTACTGATCATCACTGTCGGTGCTTTTTTTCACCAAAACAAGTACGGCCTCGTAGCCAGCCAGTAAGCAGCTGTTTCCCACCCAGTGTGTGCTGAATATGGAGCACATTCTTACAATAAGCCTGGAAAAAAGCATCAAACCGAGATTTAAGGCGCCACGCAACTATGTCTCAGAACCAAAAGAAGGTAGATGGTACCGTACCGGTGGAAGACACCATGAGGGATCTCCGGCATGAAGTAGACCAGAACCTTGATGTCCTCTGGATCATCCTTCCCCCACATCTTCATGACCTTGTCATTGTCTTTCAGATAACCAGGGAACATGCAGGCAGCTTCGGGCTCAGTAAATGAGTGCCTCTTTGGTAAGGATGAATCCCACTTCTTGTTTGGGTCAAACTCAGAGGCCTGAGGGTTCAGGCTACATGCGAAATTAGTTGGTAGGCAGATCTCAAAATATCTGAGAAGGCTGAGGATTTTCCCTTCCTTATTCCTGGTGCCCGTCATCTCTTTCACAAAATCCTCATCCCTGGCCATGTCCGCCTGCATCAAAGCCCTTCTGACCAGCACGCGAACAGCATCGTAGGACAGAGTGGCTTGACTTTTGAGCTGGTCGATCCATTTGTTCTTGTGACGGATGAGACAGCCTTCTTTCTTCAGGATAACCTTTGGAACCTCTGTCAGCTGCTCCACCAGGTCGTGTCTCACTAGAGTCTTTCAATAGCAGAGAGGATTACTTACATATGATTACATACACCGATGAGCCAAAACATTTCATGATTTACCGTTTCCCCCCGTCCAGACAATAGTATATTTTACTCCAGTTGCAGAAACACAGCAACAGTGTCTTCTAAACACTGGTAAAAAACTAATAATTAGTTTCCCTTTCAGTGTCAGCAGCTACCTTGAAGAGTGTAATGAGAAAGGACGGCTTGACAAAGACTGTGTCTTTCAGATCCTCAATCTCTTCAAACCACAAAATGGTCCCAATTCGATGAAGGTAACGGAGTATAGAGTGTAGGTCCTCCTTGCTCAGATTTCCAGAATTGAGGGTATTGTTTGCCACAAGATTGTTAAGATCCACAATTCCTGTATATGACAAAATAATTGGTGTAAGAGGTTACTGCCTCGACTTGCCTTGATATATGTGACATGAATATGATGAATACTTAGAATAAATATGTGGTTCTTTTTTTAGTCATATTAATTTTCCCTTATTACAAAAAAATAATGTATCATGCTGTACATATATGTGAATTACAAATGAGTGTGAAATGTAAACAGCAAAAATCTAATGATTTATTTATTCACAAAAATGTGTTCACCGTGCTTGGGAAAATCCGGCTTCTTAATCAGGCACCGCATGGAAGATTCAACCTCTTTATAAGAGTGTGGCAACGTCCTGACAATGTTTGGAAACAATGGTTTATTCTGAACATGCTGCAGAATGTGTTTTTGAATCTCCTCAATAGCCGCGCACTTTGTGCAATCAATGGTAATGAGGCTAGAAACCTTGAACAGGGAATGGATTCAAAATTAGCAAATACATTACAAGAAAATTTTATCATTTTCAACTTTGAGACCCTGACTACTATAAGCAATTGGATGATGAATGATTGGATGGATGTTTAACAAAAAGAAAGAAAGCATCATGTGCCCAAGTTATCACTCCTCAATCTGCTCACAGTGGTCGAGAAAAGTTCTGTCAATAATCAGTAGTGAATGTAGATGACATAATACCTTGAGGGTGTAACATTTAAGCTGATGCAGTTGTGTCAGGTGCTCAGAGAATTCGTCTTGTTGGCTTTTGTCTATAATATGGCTTATCTGTTGATCCAGGTTGGACATCCTCTCCTCAAGCAGATCATTTATCTTCTTTTCTATGTCCTCCTTCTTTTTCCTTCTCTCCTCCGCATCTTTGCACTGGTCAGCATGGGTCCCCACGAGCAGAAGGACAGAGTCTGGGACTCTCATCAGAACATTGTTGATCCAGAAGCTGACTTGGTCTTCAAAAGACTGTGCATCCTCAACGATGTAGCTAAGACCAGACATTAGAAAACAAAATGAAGATAAATATTCAATTCAATTTGTTTATTTTTATATAGCGAATAATGTAGTAGGCCTATATGGCCTATATAAATACAGCGACCCCTTCACAATTGTGGATTTGATATTCACGGTTTTGGTCAATCGCAACCTGGAAATACACAATTAAACAGGAAGGGAATATTTTTAGAGCTTGCTGAAAGATTGTAAAAACTCACAGACAATGCATAGGCCTAAGCCAAAGACAATACTGAAAATGATTTGGATCACATGAAATTCTATAATATATAAATAATAGTGATAATATATTTTAGTGTAAGTGCACACTATGACTTTAATATTAAAAGTCTTGGCGCTTGGGTACTGTGCACATCTTTGTCTTGGCAACTTGGCATGTGTTAGCTGTCTTTGTGACCGTGGAATCTCCTGTTTGTCGTATATATATAGGGATACTTCTCAGTGGCAGTAATTTTGCGTTTTTAATAAAGGGTCTAAAATGTAGTGCTCCCAGTGTGTGCAATAGTAAATTTGATGGTTTATATGTTTAAAATCCATGGAATCCATCCATTTGAGTGCTGCCAGATTAGAAGAGTGCTCTATGAGCATTTTCAAAAATTGTAGATATGTGTTTCATATGATGCGTAATATATGATTAGCGAGTAAAGATACTAATGCTTTTATTTATATTTCCTTTAGATTATTTATTTATTATTTTCTTTGTTTATTTTTCCCTCATCTTTTTTTTATTAGTATATTATATTTTTAAGTATATTTTATTCTCATTCTATTTCTGTTTAAAATTTGCTTAAAATTCGAAGTGGCATTGCACGGTGTGATTCATTTAAAATCAATAGAAATATTTGGAAAATAAATAGAATGCATCCATTTGTCATCCATCCACACGTGAGGGTTGCAGCTCATTGGGAAAGTGCGTGCTTTGTGTATTTCAGGTCTTGGGTTCAGTCCTGAGCATCTCCACTCCAATATCTCAACAAACTGCAGGTGGTGTATGACTAGGATTGAAAGGTTGTCCACTCAAATTCTAATTAAATATGCTAATTTTCCCACAATCTACATTTTTGCTCCTTCCCAGCTCCCTGCCAGACAGTTCACATTTTTGCTCCCTGGGAGTAAGCAGAGGACATTTGGGAGTTGTAACATGCAAAACGTGAACCAAAAACATGAATTGTCTAGGGGTCCCCAAATACCAGGTCGGGAAACACTGATATATTGTATGACCTGCATATAATATATGAACTAACAGTTCAGATACTGTTTACATTTGCCAGTGGGTATTTGGAGTAGATGCTTGGAGAACATAGTAGCAATGCAAATACCTTGAAAGATCAATAGCCAGAATGACAAGAGCATGAGGTGTGATGAAGATGTGGTGAGTTAGATAATACTCCTCATGTCCAGCAAAGTCCCAGAAGAGAAACTGGACGCCATCCTTTTCTACTTCGCTGATGTCAATACCAACTGTCCGATCACTGGCTTCCACTGTCACTGCTCTTCCTTCTCGCAGACTGCGGCATAAGGTGGATTTCCCAGCCATGCTGGAACCCAGGAACAAAGTCTTGACCCTGGCCACAGTGTCCCCATCTAGGTCAGATCCCAGTTGGCGGAAATAGCTCTGAATGTCCTTTAACCCTCCAGCGCACACTTCTTCTGGGGGTGTCTGGAGCTGGTTACCATTGACTCGGAGAACTTTGAGGTTAGTTCTTAAGAAGAGCTCAGCTGGCAGTTCAGTCAGACGGTTGTTCTCCACATGCAGCTCGTTCAGTAGAGGGAGCCCCTCAACTGCCCACAGATTCTTCAAGTAATTGTTGGACAGGTTTACATACTTCAGGCACTTACAGTCCACCAAATCAGCAGGGAGTTCTTCCAGGTGGTTATTGCTCATATTGAGATACTGCAGATTTGCAAGGAAGGAGAAGACCTTCGTGGGTATCTTCTGGATCTTGTTCTGATTCAGATAGAGCCGCTGCAGCTTTTTCAGCTCCCTAATGGCAGCAGGAAACTCAGAAATATTGTTCCAAGACAAAATCAGCTCCTTTAGGTTGACCAGCTGTGAAATATGACCTATATGCTGTAGTTCGTTGATTTGAAGGTTCAAGCTCTCAATATACTCTGCTTGACCAAAGATCTCCTGAGGTAGAGTATTGAGTCTTCGTTTGGAGAAATCCAACCCCCGTCGGTCCTGAACATCTAGCAAGTTGGAAAACAATATTATTAAATGAATATATCCATAGCAAAACTAAAGCAGTTCAAATTAAAGTGAATATAAGCAGGGAAAATGTCTTTGTCATTAAGCGCAAATGAAAGATGCAACAACTCGAGTATTAACTGCGATTCTTTTTATAATTTCTCTCAGTATTATTTTTGATAGAGGCAATTTCTCACCAAGGCTTTAAGATTGCTTCAGAACGATCTACTTAAAAAAATAACAACATCTGATCGTTCAGCCACACACTAATTATTAACCTGGCTTGTGATTGGTGCTGTGCGTGTGCTGCATATAAGGGTTTTTGGATGCCTTGGTGTGTGGCTCAGCGGTTAGCACTGTTGCCTCATACCTACAGTATTCCGCTAGGCTAATTGCTCTCTAAATTGTCCATTGTGTTTATGTGCCCGGTAATGGACTGACATCTTATATCCTCCTGAGACCCCCGCCCATTCATTTATGTCCATTGCAGTGGACATTTTGTTTTTGCATCTATCTTTTCACTGATGTAAGGAAACGTATTTCTTCCTGTTGTGCACTAAACAGGATATGCTGTGAAATTAAAAATAAAAATAAATTTGAAAAAAATCTAAATTGTAAGATGTCTTATTTCCTCCACAGACAAATAACCTAATTTTAAGCAATACGTCGCTTTGAGATGTCATCATTGTGCGACATTAGAATGTACTTACACAAACCTTGATGGCATAACCCTACTACACACCTAGGCTATATGTTATAGCCCAAATAACAATAAAAGTACAGTATAGTAAATACATAAACCAGTAACATTTGTTTATTATTATCAAGTATTATGAACCGTACATAATTGTATGTGCTATACTTTTACACGACTGGCAGCGCAATAGGTTTGTTTACATAAGCATCACCACAAACAGGTGAGCAGTACATTACAATGTCACTAGGCGATAGGAATTACTCAGCTCAGTGCAGTCTGTCGTTGACCGAAACCTCGTCATGCTGCCCATGACTGAAATTTTATCTGTATAGTATGGTAGCCTATAATGCTAACCCAATTCAACATATTTGACATTCAGGACCGTTACTCCCCAGTCCAGTCACTGACGTCATTGTTCTCATTGTCGGCGCCCTACCTTCTGCTAGGCTTCCTGTTTTGACCCCTCATGGTACCGTTTGGTTTCTCTGTTCCTGATTATGAATCTCAGTAAAGTCCCCTTTGGTTTTCCTTACACCTGCTCCCGAGTCGCTCCTTTCCAAAGTGTGGCAAGGTGTAAAGTAACTAAAACTAAGGCGATTTATTACTATTACTAGCTATGAATGTGTGACGAATACAGGAATGTTTGACGAATACTATGGAACGTTTGTTTGTTAAACATTTTGAGTATTACTCAAATGAAATAAATATATCTATAAACAAACAGACATAGATAGATATTTCAATAATTAAATATGCCCTTTTATTTTTATATGAAAAAATATTTCAATAATTGATTAAATGTGTCTTAAATAATTAAATAAATAAAAATATAATTTTATATGACTACTTTAATTTTTCAAATTATATTTCACAAGCTCAGTTCCGCCCCTCAAAGTGATGGACAGAGCAGACCATTAGTATGAAAAGTGGCATTATAAAATAAAAAGCTGGTTCAGAAAACCATGATTCATTCAGAATCATATAAAACAATATTTTTTCATCTAAAAATAAAAGGACACGTTTAATTAGTTATTGAAATATCGATTTCATTTTGAGCAATATGGTGTTCCATAGAATATAGGAACTGATTTAAAACTGGTATGATTTCCTAATAATTCTATAAGTCAACATCTTTTTGTGTGATTGTTTCTTCCACCCCAGCATGTATTTTAGTATTAATTATTGAAATAAACAGAAAAATCCTACCAATCTGCACAATATGCTATGAAGGGAAAAAACTGTGTATATATAAAAACATGTTATGTTAGATCACCAGTTATTTGTTAACCACTACATATGCACAAAAAGAACAGCAAGCTTATAAGTCAGGCTATGCGTCTTGTAGGTAATTTAAAATAACATTCTCCTTACCATTTGACCGTGCCATCTTGGGTTCCTGGCAATGAACTGCCTAACTGAAAATGATAGTTACTAGAAACCTGCTCAGCAATAATATAATACATGACTTGGGGGGGGTTGAGCAATAACAACGACGACAACAACAGTGTATCCCGAAACTTCTGAAGAATCAGATAACAACATCAGAATCAGAAACCGAAAGTCATTCGGCGACTTCATACCGATATGTGTGACACGTCATAAGTGGCTGAAAGTAATGCGTGCGATACCCAACACGCCACCAAAATCTTCAACTTACATTCAAAAGTCATGAAAAGTCTTCTTCAGACAATCCTGTTAGGGCTCAGATAAAACAGTAACACTTGACTTGAGGGGGCAGAAATACGTAGCAGCAAGTTAGTTACTAGAGCTGCCCTGGTCAACCACGGGTGAAGAGATAGTGAAACCACCTGGGATAGAGTTCGGCTGCAAGGTGGCGGCCACACAAGCTCACAGAAAGGAACCCGATCGCCCAGCATCGACAGCCAACCTCAATGGCAGCAGATCCCACCAGCAATGGTCCAGCATCTAGTGGAGAGCCTTCCCAGAGAAGTACAGGCTGTTATAGCAACTAAGGGTCAGTCAGCTTCATATTAACGCCCTTGCATTATAGATACTTTATAGATACTTTATAGATACTTTATTGATCCCCGTGGGGAAATTGAGAGTGAGATCTTGGACAGACTGGTGTCCCAATACTTTTTATCCACATAGTGTAATTAATAGCATAATACTACATTATTTGTGTTCCCTCAAGGAACTTTTAATTATCAAATTTGATATGTGATAGATCGAAAGTAAATATGATATAAATAAATCGAAAGTAAAAGACGCACTTTCTCAGCAACTTTATTTTATTAAAGACATCCTCTAAGAAACGTATTTACAAACAGTTTAGTGGAAACCTTCAGTTCCTTGACAGTACAGTTAAATAAGGACAGTGACTCCGAGCAGCCCAGGGACAGTTCAGGGAGAATTTTCTCTAACCAACCCATTTCTTACAGCCATAACCTGCCTAAACAATTAACATGACTTGCATTTTAAACACTTTAAATCCGATAAATGAATACCCTAAATGAAAGAGATGAACCTTAAGTAATCTCCTCATGAAGACACATTCCCACATTCCTTAAGAGAGATAAGAAGCTCACCGACATCAGTACACCCTCTGTCACAAAATCACCGTTGGTGAGCTCTACAGTACTCAACACACATTTAGCTAACAATGTGCGTAAGGTGACGTGTGACCCGCAACATAAAACTGATCTAATTCTCAGCAGGACAGTCCCTTTAAATGACGAGAGCCTCGCATATAGCACACCAGCCCCCAAGCAGTCGACTCGCTGGAACGCAACCCGCACGGTGCAGTCTGAGCTCGGCCTATATAAATCCCCAGGAGGCGCCATGTTGTCATAGTGATGACCAGACTAATTTCTTTAATATCTTGGGAAAGCATCAACAACGGAGCCCCAGATCATACGAAATACTGTACAATATTCATTTAATAAAAGTGCAATGTTGACAAATAAAATTTCCCCCAAGAATTTAAAAATTGGAATAAAAGGAAAACTCCAGTTTTTCATGACTAAGGGGTTGCCATGGATACAGACAATGTCAGAGGTGGGGACCTATCGGCATGTTGGGGTTGTATGGCAATTTGATTCACAACCTCTTGCGGGTTGATCTCTGCATACCAGGATGAATCGATCTCTGTGTAAAGCTTTTTACCAAAAGAGATGTAATTGTGTTTGTGGGAAACAGCCAGACGTTGCCTTCAGCCCTGCTCCACGTTACTGGAGCATAATGCAGTGTATGGTTATAGGGGTATCTGGTGGTATGAGCTTTGTTAGTTTAGCTGCATTTCGGAGCCCATGAAATACAGAGAGATGTATCTGTGGGTAGACAGAATGGGAGCTCATTACAAACGCAGAGGGAGGAAGAGGAGGGGCTATTCATCAGAGCTGCTTTAAGATGCCATCTCAGTAGCCTCCATGAACAGCATTTCTGTTCAGTGAAACCCAGACTAGCGAGCTGTACCGCAACCCCTTCCCCCAGGCAGGCAGAGCAAACACAGCAGATCTCCGCTGCTGCCCTCAGCAGAGTGCTGACTCAGAATTTCTAAGCCCTTTAGTTTATACCATCACTATATAGTAAAGAAAACATCAAATAAAAATGGAAAAAAAGTGGGGCAAGCTACAGAGAAGGGATCAGGTTGTCCTTGGAAGACGGGGGTTGGGTTTGGGTCCTCCTTGGAAGATGGGACGGGGTTTTGGTCCTCCCAGGCAGAGAGGGGCGGAGACTGGGTCTTCCTGGCAGAGAGGGGCGGAGACTGGGTCTTCCCTGACAGAGAGGGGTGGAGACTGGGTCTTCCCTGGCAGAGAGGGGCGGAGACTGGGTCTTCCCTGGCAGAGAGGGGCGGAGACTGGGTCTTCCCTGGCAGAGAGGGGCGGAGTTTCAGTCCTCCAGGGCAGAGAGGGCAGGGTTTCAGTCCTCCCCAGTAGACAGAGACCAGCTCCTCACGAGTTGCCAGTAGCCTTGCCGGTCACGGTCTCCTGGGCCTTCCCCTCTTCCCCATTCTTCTTGTGCTTCCTTGAATGCTTGTATTTGTCCACGTAGGCCTTCACAAGGTTGGCCACCTTGACTGGGTTAATCTCGCCACTCTTGCTGTGGCACACCTGTAAGCCAAAGACAGACTTAACACAGAATCGTTTATACGGGCCATCAAAGGTGTACATGTACAGCCCCTCCATCACTGACAGGAACACACACATGCTCATCAGTTTAGTAGGTTCCCTACGACAGCAGTTAGAAACCTAACTGGAGGAATCAACTGTACATCCATTACTAATGTGAGTCTGCCCTCCTCCTTTTAACTAAACCCTAAAAGACCCCGGACACACAGTGCCAGGTCACAAAGGCTCCTCAGAGCGGGTGTGGGCACCTTCTGAACGGCCTTCCGGAGGATCTCCTTGTATTCCTCCTTGGTGATGTCTCTCTTCTGGTAGAAAGGCTTTATGGCCAATTTCACTTCCTCCACGGCCCGTTCCTGCATATGAAGCTTCTTCATGTACTATAAGGGCAAGAGCGTCGAGCATGCAGTGGATAAGCCCTAGGTTAGACACTGGTCAGACATGGTCTTTACTGAAGAAGCCCACTCATTGATGGGGATCCCGCCATTTTGGGGACTCACCTTGTCTTTTCTGGATGCATCCTGGGCACCACCTTCTTTCCTGGATGCCGACTCTCCCTGGCTGGGCTGAGACTGGCCTGGCTGGGCCTCCGAGCCACAGGGGGCGCTGTGTGACACTGAACTGACGGTCACATTTTTAGGGAAGTGGGGAGCCAATTCCCAAACCGGGGCAGCAGGTTCAGCAGACTGACTGGAGTCCTGGGTGGGGGTCAAGGATTCAAATAAAGAACAACATTAAAAAGAAACTGATCAAAAGTATGCCGACCAGTGGCCGGCAAACACAAATCCTAATCAATTCAGCGGCTCTACACCTGCTAACCTTAGACAAGAGGCAATTTAAATGGAGTTAAACAGAAAGGAAATAAGAATAAGATGCTCAGTTTATAGTCAGCTATTGACAGACATCCCTGATTGTCACGTAGCATCAAGGCAGGGATATCTTTCGTAAAAACACGCATGGAGGCTGTATGGGGCAAGGGCGGGAAGCCACGAATTACGAGGCATGGAAATCGAAGGGGAATTACAGACGTCAAGCAAAACCAGTAGAACGCAAATAAGCCTCAATGCCACACAGATGCATTCCTCAAATTGGCCAATAGGTGCACCACAGATGACAAGGTGCCTGGATTTCAGCATCCACCTTTGAGGTACTGATGAATGACCTCAAATTCCACCACAAGACTACAAGCCCATGGAGCCAAACCTTCCCAACTCACATCCCTCCCACTGCAGAACAAAACTCAGCAGACGTCAGATAAATTCCTTACATTTACGATTCTATTTACCGACATAGGAACCCGGTTCCTAAATGTCAGCATCCTGCAAAACCTGAATGTCTGCATACCACAGCACAGAGAACACAGCTCCATTATTATACAGCTAACGTTAATGTCCTATTTTTAGCCAATTCGTCCTCATCAGTCCAGCACACGTTTGAATTCCTCACTCTAAAGCAGATGACCGAACCAGTTCAGGAAATGTGTCAGAGGAATAACCTAATCGATCAAAATATAAAACAAAGCCTCGCTAAGCATGCAGCTAAAGAGACTATGCCCAGGGATACCGGTATCCCTGAAAAGTTCCCTTTTGACAAGGCATCTTGGAGAATGCCCCAAAATTCCAAGGTGCCATTCTGAGCCAACTGAGCTTTGACTTTCATTTACGAAGAAAATACTCCGATATCACTTTCAGTTTCAGTCACATGGTTCCCGCTGGCCCGAGATGCCCCCGCCTACCCATGCTTTCTGTGGGTGTACCAAAAGCAACACTGCAATTTAACAGGAAACATCAGCATAAATAAATAAATAAATATCTGCTACCACCTTCTGCTTTGGTGATGTAATTACAGTTAAAAAGCAATCTGGGAAAAGAGGCGATGGTTTAGCATAGGGGTTATTATCTATATATATTATGTAATATAACAATTATTATCCAAGGGCCAAATTCCACCAGCAACACAAAGCCAAGGTCCAATGCATCAAGAAAAAAAAAAAAAAAAACCTGACAGTCGGGGGTCTCCCAACGATGAAATTTTCCAACCGGGGGGGGGAGGATCCCCGGTCAATAACATTTACAATAATTTGATTTGCCTTGATTTGTGGTGCTGGGGGGGGGGGGGCTAACTAGACAAACCAGACAGAAGTAAGCGGGTCAATGTGTGCCAGCTTGAAGCAGCTCCTGGGAGGTCATGTGACTACGCCATACCTGGGTCACAGCTTGGTTGGATCCGGGGGCCCTCTTGGATGCTTCTCGGCTGCTTTGCAGCAGTCTAAACTGAGAAAGTTCTGCAAAGATTAAAAAAGAAAAAAGAAAAAAGAAAAAAACAAGGCTGATGTCAGAAAATTCCATTGTGCAGATTTTCCTGTAGGAATTCCTGCCATGCTCAAATTGTTTAATGAAACCAAGAATGAACTAGCAAGTAAAAGCAGCCAAACTGAGTGATGTAACTACCACCCAAAAGGTTTAAACATTTACTACTTGTCTTTAAGTGTCTCCTGGTTTGATAAAGTCATTTCCTCATATCATGACTGGCATCCACCCGCCTTTTATCCAGCTTGGAGTAAACAGCCATGCTGACAACTCTGGGTAGGATTTAAATCCCAAGTATAAACTGCCTTTTACATAAACCATCAGTCTTCCCCTGCTGTTTGTTCCGACTTACACTTTTGTTTTTTTTTCCCCAGATATACTTTGGCAATTCCCAGGACACTTTAAAATGGACAGGATATGCAAATCTCCCAAAATTTGCATCTCTGTACCTTCATTTGATTGCAACGTCAAAACAACCTACTCGCTGATACCTAGGCCTCACCACGGGACTTTAAACAAACTACCCCCACCTTCATTTCTCCATCTGGTTCAAAGGTCCAATAATTTCAGAAAATACAAATACTAGAATAGCTGGTAGCAAGTTCCTGAATTAGGACAGGCCCTTGGTCACCCAAAACTGGAATGCAGCTGTTTAAATATTGACACTTCTTCAATGAGTGTTTAATGGGCGTTTCATATCTTTCGCCAACATTGGTGGGTACACAATCCTTACTCACTTCCAGATTTCTCAGCGACGGGCTTATCAGCCTCCTTAAGGTTCCACGTCACCCTCTTCACTGATTGTTTGGACCTGCTGCCAACCACCATAGAAAGGGGGTCTGTCGTGACTTTGACAGTGGGCGTGTCCTCCTCCTTGCCCTGACAGACGGACGTCAGTCCTTCCTTTTTCACTGCAGTACACTCCCCCCATTCAAATAAGGACTCATCTTCCTGCTTGACTGGAGGAAGCTGCCCCAGGCTGACCATAAATGTCCCTTCTGTCTTGGTCGCTGACAGGTCCTCCTGCTGAACTAAAGACTGTCTACCTGATTCAACCTCAGACAATTCTTGTTTGGCCACAGACGTGCCATAAAACACGGTGCTCATCTCGTGACCCCCAGCCTCTGGATCTGCTGCTCTCTCACGCTTCATAGAAGTCAGACTGTTCAGGATACGACCTACATTGGCGATGTCATCTGCTGACAATGCCTCTAGTTTGACTGAACCCAATGTGTGCTGCAACTCTAGGCCTGTTTTAGAGCCATTTTCAGCTAAAGTGCTACCTGCTACCCCCATGTGACAGCCTGTCACTGCAGGCTGGCTAGGGCCAGAGAGGAGAACTTGAGTTATGTTGTGGGATGACAAATGTGCAAACTCCTCTGCCCAGACAGATTCAGTTTTGATCTGCTTTTGCAGATCCACACCTGCCGTGGACGCCATCATGGCAGCATCTTGACTCAACTCGCAGGCCACCCCATAATGAGAGGGAGATGACTCCTGTTTGATCTCTACAGGCTTCTCCACTTTTGCTTTTTTTGGCTGGTTTGCACCCTCAGTCAAGCAGGGGGTGGCAGGTTTCTCTGAGCTTTTAGGACATCTTAAGTCTTCAACCTTCTCTATCGAAATGGGTGATTCCTCTTTAATTTCATGTGGGTCTTTCAATCTACCAAACAGGTCAGGAGAGAGACCAACTCCTTTGATCTCTTTGTGCTCTTGTGGTTCTGCTGGCATGTTAAAAGAAGCAGTCTTTTCCTCTTTGACCATACTGAGATGACCACCATCTTCATCTGCCACTTCTTCCTTCATAATGTCCGTAGATGCTTTAATTTCCCTGCTCAAAGAGGCATATGATTCCACCTTGATCTCCTTGGCTTCCTTCTCCTCAGGCACTGCTTCTGAAAGTACCAGAGTTCCCTGAGAGCTCTTCTGTGTGGACTGAGAGCTGTTTGATGGACAGACATCAGCCTTCTTCTCTCTGGACCATGACCTGGATCTTGGACACTTGCCGTCCTTTGACCGTGACCCGACCCCTTCTTTTGACTTGGTGGTAGGATGAGCCATCATCCGGTCTTTCCTTCGCTCTCTGGACCTAGACCGGGATCTGGACCTTGACCGTGACCGGGAATGACCTCGCCGCTTCTCCTTTGATACTTTCTGCCTGCCGTCTTTTTGCTCACGGCTGTCTCGTCTGTGATTCCTTCTCCTGGATCGGTCCCCACTACCAGAGCGAGACCGCCTCCGGTCTCTTGACTGTGACCGCCTCCATTTTCTCCTGGACCTCTCCTCATCCTCCGACATGCTGTCAGAAGAGAATGTGCCCCCCCTCCTGCCCCGTGAATGCGAGTACTGTGGTCTTCTCTCCCCGCTGCTCCTCCGAGTTGCTTTCCTGCAGCTGGTTTCAGGGCTGCTTGAGGCAGAGCTGGTGTCCCTAGCCGTTCTCCCCTGCTTCAAGTCACGATTTTGCTTTGCACTCACTCTCAATGGTGACCTGGACCTTGTCCGAGAACGCCGGCCATCTGGCCCAGATGGTTCTGGTTTAACATTCATCTCGCTGTGGTCACTGGAAGCTGAGCTTGAGTGTGTGGATGTCTGAGGCAACTTCATTGCAGCCTGGCCTGATACTCCCTCCTTGCAGACCCGACACTCCGGATTGTCACCTGTGTCCCTCTCCTTCCGTTGAGATAAACTCAGAGGACCAGTGTTCACCTCCTCAGGCTTACAAACTTCTGGCAAACTGTCCCTCTGGGTGCAATCCAGATTCTCCTCACCCTCCTCCCCATCTCCCAGGCACTCATCCGTCCCTGCCATGCCAGGCTCGGTTTTAACCTCGGAGTCTGAGCTGGAACACGGCGGCTGCAAGCCATCCGATCTCCCCGGTGGGGAGGCCTCATTCTCAGACGCATTGTCAGGGGAGTCCGAGTCAGAGCCCGTGGGCTCAAAGGGGTCATAAATCTCGTTCTTGCCCTGCTTTTCATCTCCCTTTCCCCGTGATGACAGCAGCATCCTCTTGCTCTCGCAGAGCTTCTTCCATGGCTCGCTGGCTGCCTGCCCGCCCGGGGAGCCCTGTGCCGTGGTGAGGCCCAGTCGCCTTGCATGCCATGGATTTCCACTACTGCTGATGCGGAAACTCACAGTAGAAGGGCCGGGGTTGCTGGGCAGCGGACCAGAGACTGCTGACGCGGCTCCTGGTTCACTAGGCCTCTGCCTAGTACTGCCACTACTGCTACCCTTATCCCGCTCACTCCCGGACGTGCCCTGGCCTGTGGTCTGCTGTCGGACCCTGTGGCTGGTCAGGATGTTAGTGCCGGAGTCTGGGATTCCCACTAGGCCAGTACCGCTGCTGTTTGCACCTGTGGTACCACTAGGGGTCCCCCTTTTGATCTTTGGTATCCGTGGCAGGCCAGAAATATCCATCCACACAGGTTTGGGTGGGGGCTTATTGACCAGCGGTGATGCAGAGTCCTTAGTCATAGAGGCAGAAACGCAGGGGGCGAGGCCGCTAACATCCTGGCTTCTGAGGCTGGGTTCTGAACATCTTTGGTGGTCTGCGTGACCTCCTAGGGGAACGCGAGACCCCCCGGGAAGGGCAGGATGCCTTTGGGGAGTGAAACTTGACGGCTGGGGGGACGTCGGTGTTGAGGGGCTGGGGAAACTGAATGGTGGTGATGGTCTGGCAGGAAAACCAGAGGAGAGCCCACCCTCCCCACTTGAGTTAAAGGCACTTGATCCTGAGCTTGCCGATGCCCCGATGCGGATCTCGGCTCCAGACTCGCACGCCGCTCCACTGGGAATTCTGCTCTTTGGTGACGAAATCGTGACTGCGGGGAGAGAGAGAAAAAGATATTTGGCGAGGGTGTGATAGCGAGGGCGGCACCGGAGCGTCACGGGGAAGCCTACCTGGCTTGATGGCCTTCAGCGAGCCGTCCCGGCTGATGACGATTTCCGAACTGTCCATCATCAGGATGCTCTGACCGGTCAAGATGCTGCCCAGCAGGTCAGGCACAGGGGCAGCTTCCGCCACCGCCTCCGTCTCGGGAATAATCCCAAGCCCTTGCCTGCAAAATTCAAAATACACTCTCATGCATCCTTGACTTGCACTGACCATCACCGTCAATATCCCCGACTGTGTCAGGTCAATGTGACAGAGCAGACTGAGGTATAAGGACAGCGTGAGGCTCACCGGTGAAGGCCGGTGGGTACGGGCCGTGCCACAGGCTGGTGGGAGCGGAGAGCAGAGCGGGACAGCCCGGGCCTCTTGGCATCTGGTCGCTGAGATGGCCCCGGCTCGTCCCTTTGCAATGACATGGATGTCATGATGCTGAGCGTGGCCGGCACGCCAAGCAAGCCCTGCTCCGACGGCACACTGCTTACCCTTCATCAAAGGGGTCCAAGTCAAACGGGTCTCCATACACAGACAGGGAGGCGGCGCCGATGTCGGCGCGCATGCTGCCCAAGCTCTGCTCGGCGGGTCGGTACACATCCGGGATGGAGGAACTGCGCCCCTGCCGGGTGATTCCTAGGTTCCTGGCCAGGCGAGAGCGGCTTGTCGCCGCCTTTCTCACCACCTTGGGGACACAGGACCAAAGGGGGTGCTACAATACCATGCTTCCAGGAAAAAGGAGAGTGGCAAGGGCCAGAGACGGGCATCCACCTGTTTCCTCCTAGATCTAGGCCTCCTGACACGACGCCTTCGCTTCTTGCCGCTCTTCTCTGACGGCCCCTTCGCCTTATTTCTTGTGGCTCGCCGTCGCTTCGCTGGCCAAACAGAAAACAAGCCCATGTGATGTCTCACTGCTGCTCTGATTGGCCCACTACCCCAGCGACCAATTTCCCTTTGGCTGGCCTACCTGCCCTGCGTCTCCTGGTCCTCGCACGTGGTGCTAGGTCTCTCACGTATTCAGCGGTGTTCAGCCCCGCTACCACCGCCTCGATGGCCGTGTCCAGCCATGTGGACCGGGCCAGGTATCCGGGTACCTGCTGTAGGCCCAACAAAACCCCCATCCTATTAAAAAAAATGTCCTCTTCAGCCCTTTGGCCAAACTAAAAATGTGCATTCACAAGCCTCAGAAGTTCAAACATGGGAGACAATGTTTATGAAATGCAATCATGTTTAAAAATGTAACCTGACTGCTTTAAATTAACAAAAAATAAGAGTCCTGTAATTAAAAATGGCTGTGTGGCCTGACTGCAGCACTCAAAAGTATACAACAAAATACACGCAATGTCTTTCCACTAAACACCGTTCTTGACACTTTAATTCTGCACTGCAGCATTCAGAGACTGGCCAGAGACGGCTCTAATTAAAGCTCAGTGCTGAGTATGTCAGACCTGTCCCGCAGTTAGTGCTCGCTCCAGTTTATCGCTACTTAGCCAGTCTCAATTGTGAATAATGTTTGGTGCCTAGCTACATCAATCAGGACCGAGCACACCTCAAACACACCTGGATGCCGCGTGCTTGCGAGATACGGTTCCTGTTGACGGTGGCGCGGACCCTCTCGCTCTGCCATGTACGGGCGATGGCACGCGTGGGGCGGGCACTGGAGGACCGGCTGCTGTCGACAACCAGGGCCATCACCGCACCCTCTCTCACCTCGTCCCCAGAGCCACCTGGAACACAAACACAGACCTTAAAACTCCTGTCCAACGTGACTCTCTCCAGATAGCTCGTAGGTACCCGGCCCTGTTGGACAGTACCACATCCGCCATCTTGCTTTCGGCACTATCCATCTTATTCACCTGTGCTGGAGTTGCTGGCCGCACATGCCGGGCAGAACCACTCCTCCACGGGGACCGCGCTGAGTGGGGGGGTGAGGCACTCCATGTGATAACTGCAAAGCATGCATGAAGATTGAGCTCCGTTCGTTTGTGCCTCTCCAAACGGCACACCCCATGCTGGCCCGTTGATCCAACTCACCCCATGTCACAGCCGTCGCACAGAAGCAGACGGTCCTCACGGTCACTCTGCCCGCAAACCTCGCAGTTGGTCTGGTCCAGGTCCGGATTCAGCTCAGGTTCTTCCACAGCTGCCCTCGCAGGCTTTGGTACGGAGATCTGACCGCGGAGACTGGCACTTAACCTCCAAAATCCTGCTTCCCTCCCATTTAATGACTTAAGCTCATTAACGTTACCGCCCCGCCCCCTTCCATTGGGACGATCACCGATTCATTCTGAGCGTTAGTATCCTTATTTCACACAAATCCCAAGAAGGTTCCAACCATCATGTCCCTAGGGTGCTGAAAGCCAGAATGGGCAGAAGAGAAGAGCAGAGCTGCAAAAACTTCTTACCGTCTTCTGAACTTCCCCCCCGTAACACTTCCGCAGGTAGATGCTCTTGAAAATGATCCTATCCACTGGACAGGAGCTCGCATTCTAGTTGATAGACACAGCACAGAAGCACAAATTACAACCTAAAGTCTCGGGTTTGTGTCTGTGAACAAGTTTAGCCATTCTGTACGGACAGCAGAATGCAATGGAAAAAAACAAGGGCATCCCAATAACATAATGCAATTTTAAAAGTAAAGTGCAAGAACATTTTGTCTATCATCTGTTACTGAGTTCCGGTGGTTAGTGATGATTCTCTTAAAAGCCGTAAAACTGGTGGCAAAGGGAATTTCTCACTACTGTCGCCATTGTTACACATGTGAAGGATTTCTTCATAAACGCCGCCTGTAATTTCCCTTTAAGAACTGGTTACTTGGGGATCCTGGGGAAATTTTCAGGTGCAGGCGGAAAAGTTACCATAGCCCACTCCATGATGCAGTCAAGGCAGAAGTAATGCTCGCAGGTATCAGGCGTGGCTACCAGCTGCTGCTGGAACGAGTTCAGACAGATGGGGCATTTCTCCGTGTCCTCATCTGAACTGAGGTCCGGCCCACCGGCTGCTCCGCCGGCACCCTCTGGAACCTTCCCAGAATCCTCCTCACCATCTTCACAAAGAGGCACAAGTTAAATACCTAACAACAAGAGCAATACACCCAAGCAGTAGTGGTGGGCGGATCGATCCAAGTATCGATAATATCGATAATAATGTTGGTATTGATATTGATCAATACCAATTTAATAAGCTCGATACTTTAGTTTCAATCTCTCTCCTGAATGCACTGCGGCTGTCTGTGGAAGCGATCTTGATTTCCATTGCTGCTCCCGGCTGTGACAGTGCGGCGCAGGCTTCGCTCCTCCTCCCTCGTGTGTTGATGTTGTACCGTCACGTGACTCAGCGGCGCCAGGCAAGCAAACAGGCGCGCGCGCGCACACACACACACACACACATAACGCAGAGCGTAAGAAATTAAGGCAGAGAGAAAGAAGAGTGCTGTGTGGCTTTATTTTCAAGCCAAAGATCAATTAATGGCATGCAGTATTATTTGTAAAAAGGCTGTCAAATCACGGTAATATAACTAATTTATACAAGCATATGAGAAAACATTCAAAAGAAAATGCAGAGCCACAGAAACGGAGAGAGGAGGTGAAAAATATTTCTTTGAGCGTGTTTACACTTTATTGTATTTTTTTTAATTGTACTTTGTTCATTGCATTTTATTTAAAAAAAAAAATTCCCAAAGCCGGTTCTCAAATTTTGTGCACTTTTAAGAAAAATAAAATTTGTGTTACTTGTGTTTTTTATTAATAAAGTATTTATTTACTTGTAAATTTTGCCCAAATTCTGCTCTCAGTTTTAACTAATTAATAAAAAGATCATAAAAACATTTAAAGGTAATGAAAATTTATTCAGCATTAGCAATTTGATGATGCATCCACGATAATTATTAAAAAGTATCGATATCGGTATCAATATCGCGATACTTGCCCTGCATTTACTTGGTATTGGATCGATACCAAATCTATTGCACACCACTATCAAGCAGACTGCAAAGAGCAATATTATAGTTTATATGTAAACAGAGATTATGCCTGTTTAGATTGTAGAATGGCAATTTAACTTAATTATATTTATTTCCTGCATATCATTATTTGTATCTGTGTGCTTTGTGTCCCTTTACTGCTGTATGCAAAAGAATTTCTCCCTGGGATGAATTAAGTACATCTTATTTAACATGAACTACAGCACTGCAAATACTCTGATGTTTATCGTCATTATTATATAACTACAGCAGAAGCTATCAAAGCAGAATGACGGCAAGTGGACTGGGAATTACTAAAACACAGAGTCTTTGGCCAAAATGCCTCCAGGGGGCACATCCACAAACAAGAAGCAAAAGGTGTTCCCTCACCGCAGCTGTCGTTTGAGTAATCTTCCTCGCCGTCTTCCTCATCGCCTGACTCTTCATCCATGTCTCCTTCCTCACTGCCGTTCTCACTCTCCTCCGAGTTGTCCCCCCCCTCGTCAGTGGCATCCTCTGGGGGTGGAAGCACAAGAACAAGAATATTATTTTTACTCTTGGGAACAATGGTTCCTAAAGGACAAAGCATATTAGGGGGCAAAATAATGGGGGCTAGAGATTATATTAAATTCCTCCAGTGAAACATATGTAGGGGGGAGCTTAAAAGAGTACAAATCAGAGACATGGTTAACTTGGAAGCTTATTAATAATATTAATAATAATCAAAATGTCCATCCACCTCCCAGGACTGATCTCAGGAATCACGCTGTAAGATTACAGTGTTAAACTGCGATACTGGGAAAACCTGACATGACAGGTAAGTTACCCAATCAACAATTCAAACCAGGATCATGGAAAATAATAAAAAGAGCACCCCCCCCCACCACCACCACCACCACCACCACCACCACCACCACCTTGACATCATATCCTCCATATCTTCTCACCTTCATCAGTCATGATGGCAGAACCAAGCCTTTTCCCTTTGCCGTGGGATGCATTCCTATTGATCAGCTCATCCTGGCTGTCCTCCTCATCCATCGCTAACCATCAGAAAGCCACAAAAACTGCATGGGGGGGGGGGACAGCAGAGAGGAGGACACTTCACCCTTCAGCCAGGAAACAGTGGAACTGAGAAAGCACATTTCACCACGATAAGACACAACCCGTGCATGTCCTGCAATCCTCACCGATTCATGGCCAGTCAGCCTCCTTTTACCGTAGACATAAAACTTTAACATAACATAACCAATTCACAATTAACATCAACTGAAATCATTTCTATTAGAAAAACAAAAAAAGACGGTACTATTAAAATGTAGACCATCATTTTAAACACCCATTTCAGCATATGTAAATAATCTAACATTTTAATTTGTAGCAGATTCAATGGTTTTTGTTTCTTAGAGCTTTTACCCGAGTCTTTAATTATTAAATCTATTAAGTTATATGGCTGACTTAAATATACTGCAGTAATAAACGTTATTTTCCATTCCTGCTTAGTACGATAGAGTAAAAAAAAGAATCTCCTACCGTTACTAGAGTTGTACAATATTTCAGCAAAACAACCGCAACTGCAATCACATATAAACCAATGCCTTTATATAACGATGTAAAAAACATTAAGAAATTCAATTACAAAAATCACTTACACAACACATGAAAATCATATTGTCACGTTTGACAGTAAGCAAAACATGTCTTTAAAACCAAATGCAAGTCGAAAAGAAGAGCCCTTTCTGCAGCGATACTCCTGCATGACCGTCTCTGCGGGGCAGGTGTCCGAGCTCGACCCCCGACCGCAATCAAGAGGTTGTGGGTCCGGGTTAGTAAATACTCGGCCCAATGACAGTCGGTGTATCGCTCCAGCATGCACGGCTCTTTATCATTGCTTGTTATGTTTTTTGTTAGTTTTTGTGTAGTTTCCCTATCTGTGTGCAGCCGTCGCATGCAGCCATGAGACGCCGCCTTGTTGACCAGTCTTCTCCATATCTCGTTATTAAAGTCATTGCCTACAGCGCTACCACGCACGAAAAGGGACAGTAAATGTATTCGTGTACATGCTTCATTTTTGGCGCATGCTCGGATCCCATATATGATTTATATATATATATATATATGTAAACATATAACTGGTCGAATCGGGCCTCTTTCAGACCAGCCAGTACCTCCTTTAAGAAAAGCTGGCTAGCTTATTGCTAAAGACGGATATATGTTTTACCAAACACAAGCGCATCTATACGCCTTTTCTGCGATGTTACCAAATGCTCCAGCATTCTTCGCAGCTGGCTGATAATTTGTACGCCCAGATCGTGTCGATCACCTACCCTAAACGGCTGCGTGAAGCTTAACTTAGTCAATTTCTGGCGTCCACGATTAGCGCATTTGAGTGACAGTACCGGCTGGACTCACGGGCGGAAGTGACCGGCGGGCTGAATTCGTTGTAACACATTTAAAGTGACAGTACCCGCACGCCCAGAAGGCACTGTGACCCCCCCCCCAACTCCCCCAGTAATAACTAAAATACCA